ATGATAAGGGCCAATAGATATGATTGTAGGTTCATAGGCTTCTTCATTTAGCTTTCGTAAATAATGAGGCACTTGAAAAATTTTAGGCCATGAAGTTTCGGCAGGAAGGACCTGTATCCAGCCATCTATACGAACCCGGATAGTGTTATTCATTTGAGCCATCCCCTGGTACAGTATATAGAAATTTAAATTGTTGACAATGAGATATATTATGAATTGCAAAGGATAAAAAGTTAAGGTAAGCTTTCAGATAGAAACAAATCTAATTTTTTTAATAAAAAAAATGTTAAGATATATGTCTCCTAGGGCATGTCAACCTATTATCGATAAAATTCATCAGAGAATTGGCTCTTGGGCAACGAAATTCCTTTCATATGCAGGTAGAGTTCAACTAGTTAACTCTGTTTTATTTCACATTCAAGTTTTTTGGAGTGGTGCTTTATTGATTCCTAAGAAAGTGTTAAAGCTAATTGATGCTGCTTGTAGAAATTTCATTTGGTGTGGTAAATTTAATTATAATGCAATGTCTCTTGTAGCATGGGATGATGTATGTGTGCTAAGGAAAGAAGGGGGACTAGGGGTGAAGCAGTTGCTGCATTGGAATAAGGCAGCATTAGGCAAATTGGTTTGGAATATATGTCAACATCAAGAGTCGCTATGGGTTAAGTGGGCACAGGTGGTGCTATTGAGGGGTGAAAATTTTTGGAAGGTTAAAATCTCAGCGGATTGTGCTTGGACATGGAGGCAAGTTTTAAAACTTCGTCCTCTACTGAAAAATATCATTTGGATGCAAGTGAGAGATGGAAGACAGGTTTCACTATTCTATGATTGATGGGCAGGTGAGTTAAGGTTTTGTGAGTTGATCTCAAAGGATGAGATTGCTGTTTGGGGCCATGACCTTACAGTTAGTGAGTGGTGGGATGGTTTAGATTGGATCATTCCAGATAGTTTTGTGAGAAGACATCCCATGCTTGTCTAGATTATTAGATGTCAAAAACTATCTCAACAAGTGGACAAGGCTGCATGGAAACCTGCAAAGAATGGTTTGTTTACTATTTCAAGTTGCTATGAGTTCCTAAGAGTGAAACGCCCTAAGGTAGAATGACATCATATTGTCTGGGCATGGTGCATTTTCCCGTGACATAGCTTCATCTTTTGGTTGGTATTGCGGGGTAGACTAAACACTAGAGATTTGCTAACAAGTAGAAGTATGAGAATTGAGAAAGGGTGCTGCTTGTGTTGTAGATATGATAAAACTTGTGAGCACCTGTTTTTTGATTGTAGTTTTGCTAAAGAAGTGTGGAAGTTAGTCTTGGACTTCTTGAATATTCATAGACAACTAAAAAGGTGGAGTGTTGAATGGCTATGGTTAAAAAAGGCATGTAAAGGTCGATTGACGCAATTAAATAAGTTGAAGGCTGCGGTAGCTGCCACTATATATATGATTTGGCAAAGAAAACTCTTAGTAAGTTTTTGGTTGAAAAGGATGTATATAATGAAATAGTTAATTTTTTGAGATTAAAGATCTGAAGGGTGTAATTCCCTGGGTATACCTGGGAGGAAATTATACATGTCATCTAATGTTTAATGGAAAACTTGCCTTTTTCCAAAAAAAAATGTTAAGATATAAGAAAATGATTCAAATACCTACTTACTCAATGCACGTCCACGTGCAGCCATTTAACTAGTTCTTCCATGTTGTATGTATTGACGAATCCACTTAAAATTCAAGCGGGATAAAAAAAAATTGCAAATTAAGTGCAAAGATTAAAAAGTTTAGAGTCACCACGTGTATAAATTAAATTATAAAATAAGACAAATTATATAAAACAAGTTATGTAAGGCAAATCACCTAAGCATGGTCTCTGCAATCAAACTGAGCTATGGTGCAGCACTAAGTGGGATAATAGCTTCCCTTTAAAGGAAGGTGCTTTGACATGAAATCTTAGCTTCTATACTCAGATACACTACTAAGTCCACCTGAAAAATTTCCCAACTACTAAAAAAGAAAAAAAACCTACGCCATGGACTCTTAAGTCAAAAAAATATTGGATTCGCTGTCCTAGTCGTGTCTTTGACTACAACAAATTGAAAATCTAAGTAAGAATGGACTGAAAATTCGAGATTTTTATTGAAATTGAAAGTTACTTACAAAAGCCAGAATACGCAGCCACGCAGTGAGCACAGAGCGAACAAAAGCCAGAATCAGCTGAAATCTCCAGCCTCCTCCGAACAAAAAACCCTCTTCCCCCTAGCCTAAGTTTTGCCTCTTTTCTATACCGAGCCTCGCCGTTTTTCCACGAAGCTTCCTCAATGGCGATGGGTAATCCGAGATTAGAGAGGGCAGAAAGCTTGAGCTCATTTGCCGCGAAGGTGCGATTGAAGGGGTAAGACTCGCCCTTCAAACCAATGTTCCCTTCCCCTTTTTCGGCGAAGCTTCCTCAATAGAGCTGGGTAATTCGAGATCTGAGAAGGCGGAAAGCTTGAGCTCATTTGCGGCGAAGGTGCGACTGATGGAGATCTAATTTTAAGGGGTAAAATTGGCGCTTCAATTCATAGAGTTCCTCCATTTTTCATTTTAGTCCCACATTTACTTCCTCATTGCAATTGGGTCCCTCCAAGACGAAACCTCGATTTAAAATATTCTCAATTGAGTACAAAATAACATTAAGTGAAAATTTATCTCGATTTTTATTTGACACATTTTTTTGCATTAATTTCCCCATTACAATAAAGCTCAAATATTTTGAAAATTTTCATTTAAAACCTTGAGAAATTGTTAGAAATTAATGTTTCTAGAAAAATCAAGATTTCTCCTCTTTTTTTCTTTTCTCCTCGCTTTATGTATATATATATATATATATTTCAAAATATTAAAATGGGCTTGTCAAAAATTAGGTTATGGTAGCATGTATACCTACATCTTTAATTTTTTTTATTTTTAATTATAAATTAAAAAATAATAATTTTTTAATAAATATATTGTAAAGTATGTTAAATTAGATGGTATTTATATTATTGTCTTAAGGTATAATATTAACATTCCTGAGAAAAGAAAAATTAATTTAACCAGAAACTCAATATAGGAAGCAATTTTGTCAATAATCAGCTATATCAATTGAAAATTATACATTGTTACACATGTATAAATAAAATATAAAGAAAGTAGTAAAAATTTTGACGAACATAGAAGAAGCTTACTTGTTTGGTCATTTGCTGAAGATATGAAGACCTTCCGTATCATTTAAAATCTTTGA